GTAATTGAACAATCTTATCAGGTAATAACAAGTGATTTCGTGTTCTATCTAAATATAATACATGTACTACATTTAACAAATATCACGATTATATAACAATTGATTTTTAATTCAAAAGGTGGCGCACAGTATATTAAATGATGTTGAATTACGTGTTTATGTGCACGATGCTTATGGTAAAGGTTTGATGAAAGCTCATTCCATATCACCAGACGCCTATATACAAATGGCGTTGCAATTGGCTTACTACCGTGATGCTGGCAAGTTTAATTTAACTTATGAGGCTTCCATGACAAGATTATTCCGAGAAGGTAGAACAGAAACAGTCAGACCGTGCACTATTGAATCTTCTAAATGGGTAAAATCAATGGAGGATAAAACAATAACGGTAAAAGCGAATTAATAAATAAAAAAAAGCACATAAATTTATTTCTCCGTGTATTTATAATCGATCTTTCTTCCAATATAGGTAACAGAAAAAGTCAAGTTGCTAATGGATGCAGCAACACAACATCAAAAAAGTTATCAAAATGCTATGTGTGGTAAAGGAATAGATAGGCACTTGTTCTGTTTATATGTAATATCGAAGTACTTAGAAGTAGATTCGCCATTTTTGCAGGTAATTATTTTACGAGTCGCTATTATGAATATAATATACGTATATAATTAATTAAATATGATCTTATTAAACATGATGACTGATTCTATTGTAGGAAGTTCTAAGCGAGCCATGGAGGTTGTCGACATCGCAAACTCCACACGGCCAAACTTCGAGACTAGATTTGAAAACATATCCTAAATGCATTTCAGCTGGTGGTGGATTTGGTCCTGTGGCCGATGATGGCTACGGAGTTTCTTATATAATTGCGGGAGAAGATCTTATATTTTTCCATGTTTCCAGTAAACGATCTTCGTCAAGAACGGTAAAATAATTAATATTTTTAATTTTATTATTATAATTGTCTTTCTATACTTATTATATTTTGTAAATATTTTTATTGTCTCAATTATATATTTTATAGATCTATAGTATATAGTTGTTTATATTAAAGTGTAATGTAATGTAATGATATCTTCTAACAAAATTATTTCAATATCTATAGGATGCCGCCAAATTTGCAAAGCAAATCGAAAAAGCACTTGCCGATATGAAAGATTTGCTAGAACAAAAAAAGAAAATACATCAGAATGGATCTGCGTAACTTATTAAATTACCTGTAGCGCTGTCGAGCAAAATAATTATAAACTTCGCAATGAAGTGGAGTCTATAAGTAAGCTCCAGACAACTTTTCTTGGCTTATGGAAGAATTTAATAACATAAACATAATTTAGTGCTTAAAATATAATTTTCTTAAGGCAGAGTTTTTTCATAGATAATTATTTTAATAGATAAAGGTTATAGGAAAAAATAACGGGCCCAAAATTCAAGACTATGTTATAGACATTGCACATTTAGAAGTAAATTTTTATAGGAGCATTTCACATTTGTCATATATCATTATATAAGTATATCATAAATATAATTTTTATTATTAAATAATCATTTATAAATGACAATTTATGCGTAATTTACTAATAATACTGCACAGCAGAAGTGTATGCGAAAGTACAAGTACCAAATTTCTATTGCTTGCTGTACATAATTGCAAATTTAAGAGATATTTGACATTAATATGTGAAAAAAACATAAAAATTGATTAGCAAATTTTATTATTTACTAAAATTGTTGAAAATTGTCAAACATATGTGACGAAATATATTGTTAAAGTTAAAAATTTTACATATTGACAACTAAATTTTGAAAAATTTTCCAATTAAGTACACACTATCACATCATTGTATATCATTGCAAATGTGGAAGCAGTTTAATTTCATCATGCATATGTATATCCTATCATAATTACTAATCCTATCATTTTAACATCGAGGAGTGATTTGTATGCAATGCAATTTACGCATATAAGAAATTATTTTTTTTCTCCATATAAATATACATGAATGATAGACAAGTATTGTCTGTATTAATATGGAGAGACATCTCGATCTGTATTAGAATCTTATCAATTTAATATCTGATGAGATAGAGATGTGCAACTACAAACATGTGATTACTGATTTCTTTTTTAAGCAAACATCTAAGCGATGCCATATATAATATGTGCAACTTATCAATGCAAAATGTTTTAACTGTAAGTAATTACTAACTGTAAGCAATTTTATACTTGGAAGAGAAGCGTACGATTACATTCTCCTACCGCAGATATTTGTTAAAGATATTGGTGCTTTTAAATCTTGTTATTATTCAGTGGTGTTATAATTATCATTATTGAAATATTTAAGCGCAAGAAAGATGTGAAATGCAAGATAATGAGATAGGAATGTCTAACATTTTTGTACACTTAATTTCATCTTTATACATTTAATAAAAGTTCTGATGATGATTGTAAAGATTAGGTATGAAATATTACAATAGATTTCGTCTTTTAGTTCTGTAAAGTATGACATTCATTATACGTAGAACTTTTATGGAAGTTATAATTAGAAATTTGCACAAGGCAGCTTGAAGGATCTAAAATATGCTTCCTAATCAAGAACAAAATATGTAAAATATTTGAATATTGACAGGAAAGAAAATTGCAGAGTATTCGAAATATTTTTGTACAATATTGATAATCGATCAGTAATTCATTTTAAATCGTTTATTGGTATATTTATATAGAATTCTTTTTTATTACATACAAAAATATGTAATATTTAATTATAACATGAATGTACTGTCATAGAATAAATAAAAACAACTACAGTCGTTTACTTTAGTAACAATATTTAAACATCTTTTGCACATCTCTTCCCCTCTCTCTTAACAAGAAATGAGAAATTATTAAAGATGTATACCAGAGAAACATATATAAATACATACGCGAAAAACAATACTACATTACGACTTTTTAACAGTGTCTTTACGTGGTTGAACTTTTACTTTTTCTTGCTTCAGAGATCGGTGCTTGTTTGATATCACTGCATTTCGTAACGTTGAATGGAGGAATCTCTTGTTAACGGTTTCTTTAGGTTTCACCCATCCACTGGGACCCATTATTTCGGCCCTTCGCGCACCAAGTCTGGCTTCTTCCAGTAAAGCTTCTGCTGCTAGCCTAAATAAATATTTATATTTCGTAATAGCTATTGCGCAACAAAAAATAAAGTCGTATTTTTGTGATTTCTTATTCTTGCGATATTTTTGTGTTTATAAATTTCTACTTATATTGTTTATTATTTATATACAACACTAATAATGTAGATCAGCAATATAACTTTTATACAGTTAAATGACCTCACTTATTAGCTTCTTAAGAGTCTGATTCTTTCGAAAAATTAAAATATAATAGTGTTCATGCAAACTTCAAAACATTTATTCCAAATAAGCTATCCAAATAAAATTTATATTATTTTTATAACTTAATATATTTAAAAGTTTATTCATAATGTGTCCAATTTTCTCAATTAAAAGCAAAGATAAAAACCAGTCGTTGTTTGTACATTCCAAACAGGAATTTTTCCTAGATATATCACATTGTAAATCATTACATAAATGTAATAATTTATAATGTTTGGTGAAATTGTACAATTACCTATTCAATGTTTCGTCATCCATGTTCGTTCTGTCGCAAATTGTTATTGTCTCAAATTCTCTGAAAGAAATAAGCGAAATTATTGCATAAATATTACAGAATACTCGCGATTGCGTACTTTGATTACGTTATAACAAATACGATAATGCCTGCCCTACTGAAAAAAATCACGTCACACAGTTGCATGATGAAATCATGTGATTAAAACACGTAAATCATGTAACGGATTGTTACAAAAAAACAGTGTGATTTTTTAAAATTACGTTATTTGAAAAATCACATGATATATTCTTTTTTCTTCTATTTCTATCATTCAATTCTTTAAAATTTGACAACTATAAAATCACATGATGGATAAAATTATTCCTAATATCGTGTGATTTTTCAAATTACGTTATTTTAAAAAATCACGCACTGATTTGGAACAATTTGTTACATGTTTTAATTATATGATTTCATTATGTAACGTTGTGATATATTTTTTTTCAGTAGGATGGCGTATTTACAGTCTTTCTAATCAAACATCACGTAGCATCGAGTCATAATTTCTCAAAGATTGTCAATTTTGTCAGGGATTGTCATAGATTCGCATAAAATTGGTGATATTTGTAATAACGTTTACAACAGCTGATGATAAGCTGTGATCATTTTTCACAGCTGATTAATCACGGAAATGTTTGAACTATATGACCCCGGTATTCGCGTTTCTCTTTTACAATTTTAAAATGTCATAAACTAATCAAAGAACTGTATTAACATTTAAAGATATTACTTAAGACAGTCTTAAAACAAAAAATAACTAACTACGTATGAATATCGGCCTATGACACTCGGGATTATTAGCCGTAGACGTATGCGATTACAACGAATAAATTATCCAAATAAATTATTACTTTTTTATTATATGACACAGGAATTGCGTGGAAAATTAGTCGAGCTTGCTAAATCGTGCAACGTTAATTATCGCAATCTGTTAGATTGACACTTTGAAATGGAATACCATCAATTCGATGATGTCGTTTGTAAATTATCTCTTAATTAGATCATGGATTAGATTGTTATGAGATGTCAGGAAAAATTCGTTTGGTTTGTGCAGTCAATACAGGGTCACTTCTCTCCTTTTCTCTTTGAGACTCGAAGATATCCTTATTTCACTTTTAAGACATAACAAATTGAACTGTACCTGTCCTGTCGAGGTTCGAGGATTTCGAGGTGAGCACAGACTTTGGACATATGTAGAAGGGAATTTTGCTCCGCAGAGAGCGACGCGACACGTATAGACGCCACAGACTAGGCGTGTGAATAAACAATTATCATCTGGTTATCGTCTATGGTAGGTTCTCGGCGCCGGTCAAAGTGTCATTCTCCTGGTCGTTAGCCTGACAAAGAAAGATGGAAACACCAACGAAAGTGATCGCGGAGCTTCGCGAGAAGTTTTTCAAAAAATTAGAGGAAGAAGGACCACCTGATTCCAGTATGTATATATTATAGGTCCTTCTCTGTTTTTCAATGAAATGATTTTTGATATTATAATGTTAATTGATGTGCCATAATGATGCTCATGTAACATGTGCAAAGGTCATATTCAGTCGCGTGTATTCAATCAAAAATGATTAGCAGCCCACTTGACGTGGCATGGATTGAAACTCGAGTTGAAACTCCTGCCTATTATTATATTAATTACTTATACGGAACCATAAAATGCGAAAGAAAGTTGTAGTTGTTTTTTCATCTGGAATCTATTCCTATCTGAATTTGATTAATAATTATTCATAGGAAGTTTCCACGCTGCTGATATAGCCAGGATAAAAAACAATGATGATTGGTTGAAACGATTTTTGGAACATCATGAATTTAACGAACAGGATGCGTTCAACATGCTTTGGGATACTTGTACTTGGAGAAGAAAATTTGGAACAAATGGTAAAACTATGCCTGTGAATCTTATGCTTGACATTGCTAGTTTTTATTCTCTATGAGATATTAACATTTTAGATTAAAATTGATAAGTTGTTTTGACAAGTCTATATATATCTTAATTTGAATATAATGTAAGTTTAATTCTTTCGATAAGTATGTAAGCTTGTAAATATCCTTAATAGTAATTAAATAAAAGTATTCAGCGCTAAATTATTCATTCATGAAATGAAAAGTGCTCAATATTGAAAGAATTAAAGTTAATAGAATGTAAAACAAAATGTCTTTCTTTCTCTTCTTTCATTCTAAATCGAATTACAGATATCACCGAGGATAATGTGAGGAGAGATTATTTAGAAGATGGTGTAATCTTTAGCTATAGTAAGGATAAAGATGGCAAAAAACTTTTTGTAATTAAGTCAAAGTTGCATGTTAAAGGAGTAAAAGATTTTGCCGAGCTTCAGAGATGTATAGTTTATTGGTTCGAAAGATTAGAAAGGTATTGGTATACTTATTAGTTTCCTTATCTTTTTTTATGCAAAGAATTATAAATGACATTAATATATCTGCACCTTATATACTCTATGGACGTAATTTTTTATTTATTGTACTTTCAGAGAAGAAAATGGAAATCAAATATCACTTTTCTTTGACATGGTAGATGCTGGACTTTCTAATATGGATATGGAGCTTATTAAGTATCTCATTGGTTTATTCAAATCTTATTATCCAAATTTTCTAAACTATATCATAGTTTTGGAAATGCCCTGGGTTTTAAATGCAGCTTTTAAAATAATAAAATCATGGTTACCTGCAAAAGCTATTCCGAAAATTAAATTTGTTAACAAAACCACATTGAAAGATTATGTCAATCCAAACGATGCACTGAAATGTTGGGGAGGTAATAATGATTATATCTTCAAATTCATCTCAGAAGAGCAAACAAATGGAGATAGCGTATTAAATGGTAAACTGGATAATAAAAAGGTATATATATTACATATATTTTCTTATGTCATTGCTATAACTATATGTGAAACGAATAAGACTAAGTATTGCTTTTACTTGACGTGTCAAATTCACTGCTTTTCTGTCATTGCACTATATTCTTTTTTTCTGTTATTCTTTTGTTAACTACATTGATTTGTTTTCAACATCATTTCTATTTCAAATTAGTTATCCCGAAAAAGAAAGTATTGAACAAAATGGAATATGTAGAAGATGTATATTAAATTACTTATAAGTGTTAAAACATCTCTCTCTCTCTCGGTCCAATATATTATTTCTTTAAACATGTTCTATATATTTTTTAGGTACACTTTGTAGACAATTCACCACTTACGGAGCAAAGTTCGACTAGTATTGGAGACCAGGTCAATGAAGAACAATGTACGTATAAAATTTACATACAAATTTGTTACATCACACTACAATATATAAAAGGTTTACTTAAATTTAAATAAATTATATTTGCTTCAGTGTTATCTATAGAGCCCACAGAAGTAATTACATTTAATAAAGATGGAAATGATGTCACTGGGACAATTACACTTAAGAATATTACAAGTGATAAATCTTTATCTTATAAGGTACATGAACATTGTTGTTTGATTATTCTAATAACTGAGAAATGTAGCTTAACATAGGTGTGGTAATTTTGTAGATAAAGACAACATCACCCGAGAAATTTAGAGTACGGCCAAGTTCAGGAGTTCTGCAACCATCTGAACAAAGAACTGTTATGGTTGTATTACAATCTGGCTATAATATACGTGGCCTATTAAACAACGATCGATTTCTAGTCATGTGCTTCCCCTTAAAAAGTACAAACACTGCTACAACGCAGGAACTGAATTTACTTTGGAAGGTAAATTAATTTAATGTTGATTTAATATATCTGTTTTTATATTATGTTATATATATATATATATATAT